TCTACTAAAAATACAAAAAATTAGCCGAGTGTGGTGGCACGTGCCTATAGCCCCAGCTACTCAGGAGGCTGAGGCAGGAGAATTGCTTGAACCCAGGAGGTGGAGGTTGCAGTGAGATGAGATCTCACCACTGCACTCCAGCATGGGCGACAGAGCAAGACTCCATCTCAAAAAAAAAAAAAAAAAAAAAAAAAAAAAAAAAAAAATGTGGAGGAGGGAAGAGGGGGAAACCCTGTGTGAAGAGAGAGCGAAGAAAAATTCCTAGAAACACACAAGTTAATGGAAACACCCACAACAGGACCCAAATTAAGAAGGACAAAGATAGAATGTAAGGTCAGGGTCAGAGTCTGAGTTTTCTTTCAGACTGCAAAAATGTCTGTATCAATTAAATTTTTTTGTGTGTGTGTGAATTTGTGACCATAAGATTTTAGCCAGGAGTGACCAGAGGAGTCCTGGGGACCTGATGCATATGCATTCAGAAACCAAGGTAGGGATAGAACCGTCCTGCTTAGCAGGTTTAAACATACACTGCGGAATACACAAATTTGCCTTCATGCGTAGACCTGTGTCAGGCTCATTCAACATTTATTATCAAATAATACAAACACTCAAGCAGAACATCTACTTCAGTACAAGATCATCCTTGAAAACAGCAATATTCATCTTCTAACTATGGCCTTCTGACAGTCCTGTACTCTCATATCTCATTATCATCATGGAAATAAACAGAATTCATCAAGAACACCAGTTTAGCTCCCAGGTTACGGAGATATCACAGTCCTTTATTTTTGTCTCCTTTGTTTTAATTTATACTACAATTTATATTTTAGGACATGAGAATAGAAAATTAACTGTGTATAGTCATTTTTGTAAAATAAATTTTAAGTAATTGACTGATGGGATAGTAAACAACAGTATGATGATGTACCCAAGTTCAAATATGTCATAATTAAATAAGTAGAACTGAAATACATATTCAAATTAAAAGACAATAATTGTGAGACTGAGATAAAAATAACAACTGAAGGCAACTTACAAGAGACACACCCTAAATATAAGAACATGAAATGGTTGCAAATTAAAGAATGGAAAGATTTATACTATGAAAACACTAACCAAAAGAAAGTTGGTGAACCTCAAAGTGATTTTTTACATCTAGAACTTTCCTAGAGTGAAAGAGGGGTAATCTATGATGATAAAAGGAAACAATAATCATTTAAAATTTATATACCCCTAAATGTATAGCCTGAAAATACAAAAAGGAAAAATTGGTAGAAATCAAAATAGAAAAAGGCAGACACACAATAACAGTGGGAGATTTTAATATCTGCTTAGTAATTCATAGATCAAGCAGACAGCCAATCAGTAAAAATACAAAAATATTTGAACAATATGACTAACACTTTTTAAAAATAAAAACAGACAAACATTTATGAAAATTGACAAAAACAAATGTAAAATTCATATGAGTATGCATGGGACAAAGAATAGCAAGGATAACTTTAAAGAAGAACAAATTTGGGATACCTACAAAAGTTTGCATCAAAAATATTATAAAATATAATATGTAAGACAGTGTTACATTAGTGGACAGAGAACAATGAGATCGTTGAAAAACAATCAAGAGTCCAGAAAAAAAAAATAGCACATAGCTGGTCATCTGACTTATGATACAAATGGCATTATGTGGAAGTGAGGAAAGGATATTATTTTTAGTCAATTATACTGGGTCAATTTATTATTCATGTGGAAAAATACATCTTAATTTCTACCTCACTCCATACACAAAATCAGTTCCAAGTGCATTGTAAATCTAACTGTAAAAAGTAAACCAATACATGTAGTAGAATGTAACAAAGAAGGATATCTTAATGCCTTTCACCTAGGCGAACATCAGGCTACATTAAAGAAATTCTGTTTTACCACTGCATGTTCTCACTCATAAGTGGGAGTTGAACAATGAAAACACATGGACACAGGGAGGGGAACATTACATGCTTGGGCTTCTCAGTTTGGGGGTTGAGGGGCAAGGGTAGGGAGAGTGTTAGTACAAATACCTAATGCATGCAGGGTTTAAAACCTAGATGATGCTTTGATAGGTGCAGCAAACCCACCATGGCACATGTATACCTATGTAACAAACTGGCACGTTCTGCAGATGTATCCCAGAACTTAAAGTAAAAAAAAAAAAAAAAAAAAAAAAAAAAAAAAAAAAAAAAAAGAATTAAAATAAAAAAGAAATTCTGTTTTACGAAAGGCATTACTAAGGGAGTAAAATGGCAAGTCACATAGTGGTAGAATACACTTGTAATATCTACCCGATAAGTGATTCATCAAATATATAAAGATCCACTATGAACTAATGAGAGGAAGATAGAAAACAAAATTGAAAGCAAAATGGTAAAGGGGCTGATCAATTCCTTCAAAAAGAAGATATCAAAATGGTGAAAAATTGTGTAAAAAGTTAGTAACAATGACGATAAAATAAATGTAACTTAAA